TCCCTCTGCATCTCAAGCCTGGACTCAGATTGATCACATCGCGATCAGCTACCGCTGGCGTGGTTGTGTACAAGACTGCCGCTCCTTTTGGAGTACCTATCTGGACTCTGACCATGCCTTGGTCTGCGCCAATCTTGCCTTGCTTTTCAGTGGCCAACGAAGTGACCACCACCAAAAGATTGATGTTAGCAAGCTGGTTGCAACTTCTGTTGCAAGTAAGTATCGAACCGAGCTAGCTTCTAGGCTAGCTACCATTCCACCGAAAAGTATAGATGAGCATTGGTTGCAATTGCATGACGCCATGAAAATGGCGGGAACGGTCAGTTGTGGGTTTGCGAAACGTCCCGCTTTTAAGCACTGGGTTTCTCCAGGTTCCTTACAACTCATTGAAGCCCGTCGGTCTACTCCGGGTGACTGTGAGTTTGACCATAAACGAAGGATGTTACGTAAGGAAATTGGGCAAAGCTTGCGTAAGGACCGAGAAGCCTGGAGGTCGATGCGTGCTAATGAGCTGGAAGCAGCAGCTGCATCTGGTAACTACCGGAAGCTCTTCCAGCTCATCCGAGCCACTGGCAGCAAGAAGTCTGGTGTGAGTGAAACAATCTGCGAGGATGATGGGATGCCAATCACTAACATCCATCGACGTCTTGGACGATGGGCAGAATTTTTCGAAGGGCAGTTCAACTGACCTGCTGCTCCGGCAACATCGGTCAGACTGTCCTGCCCTCCATGGCCGGTGACGAATGATCCACCAAATGAGGAGGAAGTTCGCAAGGAACTCCAACTCTTGAAGCGTTACAAATCACCTGGCCCAGATGACTTACCTCCGGCTCTTTTTAAAGATGGTGGTGACTTTTTGACTAAGGAATTGACGACGTTGTTTACAAAGGTTTGGGAACTAGAGAGTGTACCAACGTTATGGAATGAGTCGATAGCTGTCCCTATCTTTAAAAAGGGTTCACGTCGTTCCTGTAACAACTATCGGGGGATAAGTTTACTTCCGATTGCGTCCAAGCTATTGGCTTCCGTCATTCTTCGTAGGTTGTTCAAAACCCGAGAAAGATTGACTCGCGAGGAGCAGGCTGGGTTTCTTTCTGGTCGAGGATGCATTGATCATATCTTCACCCTCCGCCAAATATTAGAAAACCACCATACTTATCAAAGGCCAACAATCGTAGTGTTTCTTGACATCAGGGCTGCCTTCGATTCGTTGGATAGGACTGTTCTCTGGGATTGTCTATTGAAGAAGGGTGTGCCTGAGAAGTTTATTAACATCCTAAAAGCCCTATATACAAACACCTCAGGCAGAGTGAGGGCATACAACCACCTCTCTCCATTGTTCCATTCGAGCAGTGGGGTTAGGCAGGGTTGCCCAATCTCACCATTCCTCTTCAACTTTGCCATCGATGACATTCTGGAAACAGCTCTGATGAATGTAAGTAATGGTGGTGTGGATCTGTTGCCTGGAGAAAGACTTCTCGACCTTGAGTATGCGGACGATATTGTCTTACTGTGCGATAATGCCCAAGGCATGCAATCCGCACTTAATCAGTTGGCAATCAGTGTCCGTAGGTATGGTATGTGCTTTGCACCTTTGAAGTGCAAAGTACTTCTACAAGACTGGCAGGATTCCAATCCTGTACTCACCCTGGATGGTGAGCAGATAGACGTAGTTGAGAAGTTCGTGTATCTGGGTAGCTGCATAAGTGCTGATGGGGGTGTGAGCGACGAGATCAATGCACGAATAGTGAAAGCCAGAGCGGCTTATGCCAATCTGGACCACCTTTGGCGCCTTCGTGATGTTAGTCTGGCTGTAAAAGGTTGGATCTACAACGCGTCGGTGAGAGCAGTTTTGCTCTATGCTTGTGAAACCTGGCCTCTCCGAGTTGAGGACGTTAGACGACTCTCTGTGTTCGATCATCGCTGTCTCCGAAGGATTGCTGACATTCAGTGGCAACACCATGTCAGTAATGCAGAGGTTCGGCATCGTGTGTTCGGGCACAGAGATGATAATTCAATTGGTGTCACCATCTTGAAACACCGACTTCGGTGGCTTGGACATGTTCTCCGAATGTCGTCCCAGAGAATTCCACGTCGTGCATTATTTGCCGACTCTGGGACTGGTTGGAAGAAGTGGAGAGGTGGTCAGTGCATGACATGGTGTCGTGGTCTGAAAGAAAGCTGCAAAGGACTGGCTTCTGTTGGTCCTTCACGACTCCCTGATTGGGGTCTGAGAGATGGTGCTACACAGTGGCTAGAGACGTTATCAGATATGGCTCAGAATAGAAGCCAGTGGCGATCCTGCTGTAACCTTCTTTTACTTTCTTCATAAAAAGTGGTTGTGTCTCCTTTACCTGAAAGATTTCTTCTGATTGTACCTTTTCGTTCCATCGTTACTACCACACTACCTTACTCCAATCTCTTCGTCATTGTTCTCTTTTTCTTTTGCGCTCCTTAGTTTTTTTTTCTACTTCTCTTCGAATTCTCATTGTTTTGTGTGGCGCATATATATTGGCGCTCTCTTGTACCAACATTCATGTGTTCAAATAAGTAAAATAATAATAGATCCTAACCACCCCATTAGATGGGGGTTTACTATCTCATCACTCGATTTGCCATCCTTATCTAGTACCTCATTACTATCCCAGGCATCGCTTGTTAGAAGGTCCCAAAATACACGAGGAGTGCTTCCAAGACACCTATGGTCGAATACTAGTAGCCCATGAATATCTTCTATTCTTAATGGCCACGTTTCACAATCATAAATTATGACGGAGAGAACCGATGAGCAATAAACTCTCTTTTTAGTTGACAAACGTACATCTGACCTAGGCTATAAGTGATGCAAGTTGGTAGACGTCAATTGAGCCTCCTGAATCCGTGCTGAGATTATGTCAGACACCAACCCTTCGGGATAGTCAGACTTCTAAGATGAGTGAATTGATTGACACACTCAACTATTCCACTCCCTACCGTTAATTCAAGCGTTGATGCAGACCAGTCCTGAAACAAAATTTTGCACTTAGAGAGAAAGAAACACATTCCAAGCACACTGGCATTATTGCTTAAAGTGGTCAGAAGACCTTATTTTGTCGTCTTTGCCAAACAGGACTACATCATCTGAATATTCTAGGTCAACAAGCGGTTTTCCTGGTAGGAGATCAAACACTGAGAATACAAACGATGGTGTCATCTCTAAACTATATCTATAACAAAGTTAAATAGAAATGGAGGAAGCGGACAACCTTGACGTAACGAATTCAGATCACGGTTCCCCATAAGCTCTGGCTCGTCAGTTAGTGTACGAGTAGAGAGCCTCTACAAGGTGAATGTAATTTTTTGATTTGGTTTATAATGCCAGACAGTCGCAGAACCCCACAACCAACGGAGTCAAATGCCATTTTAAGGTCAGGGAATACAACTATAGCCGGATGTCAAAAAGTCTATATTCCAGAGTCTGCCGAGGGGTGAATATTTGATCTATAAATCCAGGTTAATTTCTGAAATAACCTTTGTTTTCTCGGATTTGCTGGTTAGATGTCGAAGCGTTAATGAACCTAATATTTTAGATACCATGATAGTTACTGATTTCTCTGTGATTGTCATAAGGGCAATGTTGTCCCTTTTTATAGACTAGGATGACCAAAGGTTGAAACCAGTTAGGTGCGATTCAGTCTAACTCCCAGATTTTTGCTAAGATCTCAGTCAATCTAAGTGATAAGGCGAGACCACCATTCTTAAAAATCTCAAAAGTTATTCCTTCGTGCTCTGTTGTTCTTCGTCACTTTATGTTAGTAATAGAACCGAAAATATGAGCACTATCGATCCAGTTCCTGTTTATATGATTATCAAGAAAAGTTTTTTATGTGGTAGACTACAACGGTATTAAAAGTCTTGATAGGTTAGATATAACTGATACTATTAGTTGCTGTACTGTGAGAAATGTAAACGCTTAATCGAACTATGTTTCGAATTGTTCAAAAGTGCAATAAGTCATAGATGAAATCCCCAATTTCCTCTACTTTACTGAAGTAAAATTTGGTGAGATATATACAACTCACACCATTGAAACGATGTGCAAAAATAAATGAATTGATTATTCACTAAACAAACCAGTTTTTTATTCAATTAGTTGGTATGTAGGATGATAGAGTAAGAGTTGATTCCTTTAGTACGAACTGGAATCAGCTTCATAATCCCCAGTAGTACACATTTATCTCACAGAAAATTGAATTCAGCTTTGGTGAAGCATATAATTCAATCCACCATGTCACAATCAAATAGTTCATACGTTTTCAACCTTGATAAGACCATAATGTAATCGTAATTTGCCAAAACCTATTATTCTACTTTTGAACGACCAGAACTCAAAACATTTCCTAATTGCCTTAAGAAGCTATCGAACATTTACTAGTACAGAATACTTACTTTATGTCATTTCATTTCCATTGACCTTCCCCAACAAGGTTATAAACAAAGACGGACAGTGACATTGAGTTTTGGTATATTTAAGAAGTCAGTTAACATTATGTAAATGTGTATAATATGAACTTTCTAAAACATATATACATAAATAATACCATCGATATTTTTTGACATCGTGACAGAAACAACACCTAAGTACTTACTAGTATAACTAACCTTTAGATGAATTCAATGAATTCTAGTAAGACATAATTAGTAGAGTTCAAATTGCGAGTCAAGAGTGAGATAATTACCCATATGGTGATTTTATTGATCAACAGTATGTTACGAATTGATTAGATTTTGACGATTGAATTTCAATTAGGCGTTCTAGATGTATTTTATTCGCTGTAAAGTCGAATAATTAGGTCTCATTAAAAGGTTACTTCTGGCTATAGAACAATACTGTGGAAAATATAATATCACAAAAATCAGTAACTAGACACCTTCAAACCCTTTCACAATGCCAAAGACGGTATAGTAGCACATCTGCATTAATTGGCTTGTTTAAACTAAAAGTCAAGTCAAACTTTAACATAATCTGACGGTTTTATTGTAGTTCAACAACATTTAAGACGCAACAGTGACCAACCACCAGAAAACTTATGTGCCCTTCAATACTTTCAAATAACGCCATAAACTTGGAAGTGCCACCACTGTTACCAAATAAACTGTACAGGAAATAAGGATCGAATGATTCAAATTATCTTTACAAGCGACTGAAAAGATAGATAAATGTTTGTGAACAAAAATCTGGAGTGGAGAAGTAAATGAAGCAAAACTCATCGATTTGTTTAACGATTTACAGACTACATGCACTCAGTTTTTTCTCCAAAGTTAAATAAAACATAAATTATATTTCTGGTTGCTGTTTTTCTTGGGCCATAGAGCGTATAACTTGGTCGTCATGATACTGATCTGTGAATTCTTTCTTGATATTTTCTATATTCGACTCAAGATTTGGACTAGTAAAAAAATCTGAAGATGTAGCTTAAGATGTAACTTACCAACAAAATGTTCTCTAGCATCTTCAGGCTGTTTTGTTAAAATATCTCTACAATACATCGTACAATAAAAGAATGCTTTTACCTCAGAAATGCAGTTATCATGTATTTTATTTCTGGATGTTTTCGTAAATAATGCTCATTATTTAACCGAGTTTGAGCCTGTTAAGAAATATAGGACTAATTGACTCTAACTTTGAGCTTATTTGTTGCTCCCTGTTGAGCATTACTGAGGGCTCCTAAATCTCCTTCTCTAGGAAGATCATATGGCTCCATCCCGGCTGGTGGGTCATGGTTAGGACGGTAAGATCCTGGATCGAACATGACCTTGAAGACCAAATAGGCCGGTGTTAAACTGCCTTACACACCATGACAATGGACAAACTTGGAATCGAACTCAGTTTCAGTTTCGGTTTTCGGAAGACAGTAGGTGGGATTAGTTATATTAGTCCTAGAGCTGCTGATCACTCATCTAGTCCAAATTTCTTTTGAAAGAGTCTACAGATGTAGCATTGCAAAGCAGCCGCGTTATGGTCACTTCGCCGAGCGTTCAAATCTTTTGACGAGAAAACGTTTCGAATTTTATACCCCATATATGTAAGACCACACTAAGAGTACTGCATCCAAGCAGCTAGCCCGTGTCCCTTGAGCGTGTACAGCCTGTGGGAACGAAATTAGTGAAGGGTCTTTCCTAACTACCTTACGATGAGCGTTTAAAACGCCTAAATCTTTTCCCCTTGTCGTGTCGTGGGACACGAGGTGACCTTATACTGGCATTTAGTATCTTTAATTACGATTTGGGTCTTACCTTCCTGCTTCCTCCAGCACTAATAATTTCCGAGGTCATAGCAAGAAGGTTCATAAACCACGATCTAATAAACTTAAAGTGGGGTCCTGTTTTTCTCATCGAGTAGTCAATGATTGGAACGCCCTACCCGAACAAGTGGTATCAGCCCCATCAGTGAATATTTTCAAGGAGAAGCTGGGCTTTCACTGGAAAGTAATGTGTTAGGACTAATACAGGTTCACCAACCTACTATCCTTATTACTGAAGACTGAAGCTTCAACAATATCGTGAAGTGAGGATTTCCTCCTGTTGGTGATCTGATGTGAAAGTCAACAGTCAGATGCCAAGTAGTTTTTCCTGAACTCGTAAACCTTTTTAGACCATGCTCGTAAATTCCGTTTCATGAAAGACAATCGAAATGAGGGCATATCAGATTCGAATTCATTACTGAGTAGTTTTAAATCTGTGTTCTAGTTACCGATTCTTTCATGTGACAGGGGAAGTAAATTTGGTTTAATCAGTTTGTCATAATACAGACGTTTTGCGATTCTGAGAACCACCTTAGCTGTGGTTCTCTGAACCCTTTCCAACAGCTCATTGTCTCTTTTTAGGGAGGGTCTAGGCGCTTGTATGGAATACTCCAGTTTAGGATGAATACTGTATTAGAACAACACATGTAAGCAAACAATTGTTTTCACTTAGATTGTCATCAGGCCTTACTCTAATATACATGAATATTTACACGAAGATTTCAAACCAATCAAGGCAATTTGGGTCAATAATCACAATACTGTATGAAAAGTCAAAAAAGTTTCAGTATCGGCAGAGCTAGATTGTCTACGTACTAGCCATAGGGTTCTAGAACCTTTGAAAGCTACCTTACGGCCGTGTGGGGCAGTTTTTAAGTTTTGGTCAACGATGACTCCTAGGTCAATGCGTGTTTGGGTAACAGGTAGTTCACTGTTATTTACCGTGTATGTGTCTTTACCCTGGTAGTCAATATGCATCATAATACACTTGAAAGCATTTATTGGCAACTACCAGCCCAGATTCAACGCTTCACTATATATCAATAGCCTTCCAAATATTTATTCTAGCCTCTTCATTTCTGACTTCTGACTTCCCTGTGTTGGTATACTTCGATAATAAAGCTGTTACGTGTAAAGATGTTGTCAAACCCCGGTTACTTGTGAAATCTCTCATCTTATGTCAGTTAAAGAAAGTCAAATACAAGAATGAGTCAGGAGAAAATTTCCCAAATCTGAAAAACACGTTTCATACAACTAACTGGGGAGTGTTTACAGATGATTGACTGAAACATGTCGTAGATATTATCAATTATCATTTTAAATTCAGTTTTGATGCTTGTTGTCCAACTAAACCATTTTCGCATGTTTTAATTGACTTACATTTCCACTTCTGAAACGATTATGGAGGATGAAGGAAATAATGTACAAATAGGAAAATTCCATTGAAGTTCGAAGGCTAAACCTGGAAATCAGACTCCTGAAATGAATGTGTACTCAGAAACACCAGTCTTACAAAAACTCTTCAAGTATGTGGGAACTATTTAAATGACATCAGAGCCGATAACCGGCCGAATGTTTGTGAATTAAATAAGTCTTTTATATCTCAGTCATCAAATGACATGCTTCCCATATCCATATGTTTGAAGGATAGTTGTGTTCCGATTTCCATTGAAACTGATGTCCGAAAATGTTTCTAATTAATTAACTCGTCCTAGTGTTTGGGATCTGATGAAATTTCAAACCTCTTTCTGAGAAGCATGTTGATATTCCGTGTTATCCGTTCGTGAGCATCATTAACCAACCAACTAATCTCATGACGGAAATATGGAAAAAGATATCTTGGAAATTATCTTGCGACGAAAATGCGAAATTCAGAACAGTGTCAATAACTTCACCTTTCCTCTAACGATGAAAAAATTAATGCTACTCCTACTCTAACCTGCAACATAAGTGCAGATGGATCTATATCACTTTGGTTACAAACGCAAACGAAGTACCTCAAATACTGCTGTTGTGCTGCACCATAATACAGTGTTCAGCTTGGAAATGAGTGAAAATTTTGTTCGATGCACTTTGCTGGATCACACTTTAATTCATAACTCCATTCCAAGACAACTTTGATCAGCACCAACACCGACGGCTGGGTGTGTTCTAACCGCTCTGAAGTAGAACAGCAAACTTCACTTGGAAAAAAGTGTATGAGATTTCTATTAATCCAAGATGGTGCGCTATAAGAGGCTTTTCATTCCACTTTCGTTTCCTCATTTCCTCTACATGATCTGCCATCTTCTACAATATACAGATGATCTAACTGTATATATGCTGGTTTCTACCTCCTTACACGTTGTAGAAATCAGTGAGATATTGTTTCTCATTGAAAAATAGTTTATCGTTAATGGTGTCACATTGGTACATTCTAAATGTCAACATGTCAACTTTGGCCTAAAATATGAATAGCACTCAAACACTATGTTGGAATCCTACAAACTTTACACTATTGAGGTCTTGTGATAAAAATGGTGTCTAACTTTGTTTACAGCAGTGTAATTTTTTCTCCGATCTATTATGGTCTCATGTTTTACTGGTATCGAATAGAGTTTTCCGTCTGACATACTATGTAAAGAAGCCACATGTTTTCACCATTACTCGACATTTACTTTTATGATTTGTAAATTCTTGCATATTATCTATTTTCTTTAATGTCCCTCGTCACTCTTTCTTGGATTTTTGAAGAAAGACTGCCGTATTTGAGAGAGTGATGAAGGCAGTTAGTAAAGTGTGTAACGAGTCTTTCGAGGTGATTATAAATATGGTTGAAAACATTACTGTTTTACTGAAAGACATTTCACTTAGTTCTAGATAGTTTGTTTACTTGGTTCATATGTATAAGTATGCGGCTATTATTTTCTTAATTCTTCGCTTTTGTTTATTTAAGAGAAACATAGCGAAATGTTTTTGCCTAGAATTCTATATTATGGTATTGAATAACGGCATTGGTAATAATTATAAACGATCAGCTTCTTGCAAATAATCTTTTCTAGAACTTTACTAGCCACGTGAGCTAGGCTTATGAGTCGATAGATCTACGGTCTAAGTTTGGTGCCTGTTTTGAGGGCAAGATTTACTGTGACGCTCTTCCTACCTTGAATTACAGAGGTTAAAATATGTGCTTAAATGGCTTGCAATGAAATTTGTTATTTGTCTTAGCGACCTATATAATGCATTTTGTTTGGTCCTATAGATTAACATATATAAAGCTTGTGCAGCAGACGAATGACACCAACTTTTTTATGAGGAGAAAGGTTGATTCAGCGAAGAGTTTTCCTTTCAGCGAATTCATCTTCAAACTTCTACCCGCAACTGATTTATTTCTGTTTCTGTGATCTTACTCGTTACATTTAATCTCAATATAAACATTTTACCTCATCAGACTGAGCCATCATTTCTCAATAATGATTTCCCGATCTATATTTTGATAAATATTTAAGCCACTGACAATCAAACGATTATTAGTTTCTCTGTTTAAAAAATAGTTTAATACCTTTGTTTATTATACCTCACTGTCACCATGTGTAACAGAATATTGCTATCATTATTATTGTAATTGTTATCATCATCCTGAAAAGATAGGTATACATACTCGCGACTATATGTAGTGACCTACTTTTGTCAAGAGAAGGCGATTGGTTTAATGGTTTGTTTAACTGTAGTAAAGACACCCATTACTCCCCCATTATTCTTCCGTTGACTGTGACTTTGTACGCTCTCACGTTCTCCCATTGATTCCCCTTGTATTTGCTTTGGCACGATCTCGGGATTCTTTCGATACCACGAGATCGCCAACGAATACATCTCGACTACAACCATCAACTGCCTTCTGATATTTGGCTTACGGGGGATCTTATCGGTTAACTGGCACATAGTCTTCCTGTAGTGGTGATCATAGTCAACCGCGACTCGACGCCACACTACATATAAAGCTTTGAAAATGAATCTGCCGAAAAGAGAACTCTTCGATGAACCAGTCGTTTTTATTTTTTATAATGGTTACATGTGCTGATTAGAAGTATTTGGACTATTATACGGAATAAGAGTCCCAGAAGTAGCGTAGTCTAAGGAGACAGAAAGAGGTAAGCACAAATGAATGAATTGTATGTGAAGTTCAAAATCAGGCAGATACCAAGTACGAAGGAATCATTGGTTCACACAAACACCACATCACAGTGTCCATAATATGGACGAAACGAATCTATGTAAATCGAAGTAAAAAGCATCACTAGAGTTTAAACCTTACTGAGGTAATTTGGGAGTACTTACTTATTCACGACTGTTACTCCTGATTGAGGAGCATAGGCTGCTTATCCGGATTCAACACCTGTAGCGTGGGGTTGAGTTGAGGTTAACTATGAACACCGCTACCAAGAAACACGTGCCAAATAAATCAGAAGGCGAAGGTTGAACGTAACCAAAGAAACCCATAAAATCCCCGAAAAGCCAAATATCAGAAGACAATTAATGGACCAAGTCAAGATATATATTTGCTGGCGATCTCGTGGTATCGAAAGGATACCGAGATCGTGCCAGGATACAAGCTTGGTTACAGAACGTAACCGAATTCGCGCGAAGTCACAATCAAAGTGTAAGTAAAAGAATGGAAGCACAAAATAGCTGTCATTAGCACAGTCAAACAAAAGCACATTAAAACAAGCACTGGTACAGTTGGTTATAATAATAATTGTTTTTATTAAACCAGTCGTGTTCTCGTGATAAATGTGAGTCACTACACACCCAACACTGTCCTGGACAATCCTTTCCAGTTCTTTACAGTTGATATTCATTCTTTTCATATCTGCTCCTAATTCCTGACTCAATGTGTTCTCTGGCCTTCCTATTTTTTGCCTGCCTTGAGGAATCTAAGTTAGCGCTTGACTTGTGAAGCAGTTTGATGATTTTCTCAATGTATGTTTTATCCACTTTCAGCATCTTACCTAATTTCCACCTCAGCTGAAAACTAATTTGTTTTCTCCCATAGTAGACTGTTGTTGACAGTATTCGCACCACGGACATTGAGTATCTTACGTAGACAACTATTTGTAAATATTTGTACATTTTTGATGGTAGTTGTAGCTGTTCTCGAAGTTTCAACTCCGTGCAGCAGAACTGTCCTGACGTTTGCATGGAAGATTGTGACTTTGATATTGGTCGACAGTTGTTTTGACTTCTATATGTTCTTGCTTTGCCAATCTTCGCCTTTACGTCTGCATCGGACCCTCCTTGTTCATCGATGATGCTACCCAGATATGTGAATGCTTCCACCTCTTCCAGAGTTTCTCTATCGAGCGTAAATGAATAGTTCTCAAATTGAGAATACATGAGCTTTATCAGAACAAGCTTTCACAGCCGATGTTGTGCTAATATCTTCATAAAATGCCGGGATGATACCCTATCTTCCTTGTTCTCTGGTTTATGTACAAAAATAAACGCTTTGTGTCTCCTACAGACTACCAAGCAAGCTTTGTTTTTATGATATTATGGACTACCGGAGGGTTGAAAAACAAATATTTTGAACTTCCAAACTCTGAGGTTTTGTCTCATCAATAGTCAGCAACACACATTAATCCCATATTCCTTTTCTCATAAGAATAAGAGAGTGGACTTCATTAGTAAACCACGATGGGTACTTCTACGGAATTCTTAGGATAGTCCATGGAATGTGAGGTGCAATGGATGTTATGTACAAATTTCTGAATAATCCTCAGTTCTTTTTAATGAATGATTCTGATTCCATCATTCAATATGCCTAAGATTTTGAACACAGAATTTGTGGCTCCATCTGTGCCATTTGACGGAAAATCTTCTAAACAAAACCTATATTCCTTATCACATAGAAGGATTAGCAGCGAAATAATCAAAGTTTTTAAATCACCTGTAGCGTTGAATAAATCCCTGAACTCGATAGCTCCATAAGTCTTCGACATTTGATGCTGACCGTATCAGTTCTAATGGACTCACTTAGCTGAAGGTGCTCGGTCACGGACTCGCACCAGATCACAAGTGGTTACTCCGTGCTTCACATCTGCCACGACCGCTAGCAAGCTTAGGTCGGTCAATTCCTAACATATCAAATATATTTTATATATATATATTTCGTGTCTGACTGTTGATTTGAGTGGGTTGGCACATTTTGATTATAAAGCCTATTACTGATTAAAGCGTTGTCAAACTCCAAATAGTAAATTTAGTTCTTACATATCTTCGTTCTTCTTGTCTTGCAAAACTGGGTTTACGAAGACACTTCGGAAAAGTTCACAACCCCAGAACAAATTACTCGTCAGTTGATCATCGACTTTCATCGGTATAACTCGTTAAATCAACATGTGGTTGGAACTCTATCTCTCGAAAAGCCCAAATAAAATTTGGATTAACTGAGCGACCAATAGTAGTAGAACTAGTAAGAGCCACCTAGACTCCTATCCCTTTCAATGTGTAACTGAAAACCATTTTCCGAGTACCATGGAAAAAGTGTACAAGAAAACCGTATTTTCATTTACACAACATTTTATTGTCGCTTATCATAACTGCTAAAATTACGTGAAATAATATTAAAAAATTGGTAATAATGTTGAAAATTACCCACAAATTATGTATAAATCAAGCAGCCATATAGAGTTACGTTCCTATTTGAAACATCAAGGTCGTATGCGTATTGTGGTGAGGATCCTTAAAACTATTACGGAAGCTCTGGTTTAGAGTGATATTTATATTCTCAAATTCAAGTAAGCCTCCTCAAATTTGTAAACAGCCATAATGTTGTTTGTGTTTTTGTTGCTGGAATTGCTTCTTGCTTGTGAATATTCAAGTATGTTTCACTTCAATGCGGCACAAGTTTATGAATGAAATGCATCATCTTCAGGGCTTATTGTGAAAAGCCACACAGTGTAAGTCACCTGAATAACAGGCCCAAAGCAAATATGGGATATAAATATGGCAAAACCTGCCAACGGACAACGCGTTAAGTGTCGAAGTCAATTGATTACGCTTGTATTATAAGTAGTTTTCTGGTTACTATTCACCGATATCTCACGCTAGGTTTAATGGTATGCTAATAACTCAGTTTTAGTCTCGAATTTAAACTAAGTGATGTTAACACTGTCCTATGTAATCTTACCCAATCTCCCGCCACAGTAAACTTTGGAGAAGTTTTGGGGAAATGGCACAAAACATCGAAATTTCCCCAGACCTGGGGAAATCCCCCAATATTTTCCCGAAATTCCCCTTTAACCTCGGTCAAGGTCATTTGACTTTGGGAGTTTCCCCAAACTTGGGAGCTCGGGTAACTTTCCAAGAGTATAAGAACAATGTAAATATTTATAGGGAGGATTTCTTATTGTCTTCTTAATTGCTCAGTTCTGTTTGTATTCATCTTTCATTGCCCTTAATATAATTTAATTCAATGCGATACGTTGATTTCTCTTTGTGTAAAATTTTTCTTGGTCATTGGTACCGTGTAGTCCTGTAAAATGACTGGAGTTGGCCTGATCAGTTCTTGGTCTGAGGTGGGTTATCTTATGGTAAACGATTAATTTGTTGCTGTTTTAGGTAGATAACTTCCAGAAAAGCAATAATGTTACTCAGTTGTTCGATGAGGATCCGGAGATGTTCGGTATTTTGCGAGTACTCGTGTTGCTTTTACGTAATAAATTGTTTTTAGATGGATCAAGCCTTTTCCCTCATTTTTGTAGTCTTTGGAAAAATTCCCAAACAGCTTTATCGGAGATCCCTATTCAGTATGGTAATGCATGCCACAAGATTGCTCGTAGATTACCCAGTATGTTTACCAAAATGTCTCATCGTAAAGGGTAAAATAATCAAGTTTATATAATCACCTTTCTACAAGATTGCCTAATGTCCGTAATATTACAGAAATGATTAATCTTGAAAGGAACACATGGAATCTTATTTCAAGTATTTACTTGGACCGTTTTGAGTCAGAATCTAGGACCGGGACGGTTGAAGGAAATGATTTATCTGTACGGATTTTATGTTTATGTGTTTCGTGTTTTCTTATGTATAGTCTAGTTTATCAAATCATTCCTTTAGGGCTCTAAGAATTGTCGAGAGGTATTTAAATCTGCATGAAGTTATCTGATCTTTTTGGTCATTTTAAGTATAATTGTACTTACCGGTTACGGATGATGTGGTTTAGGACTGTTTATTAATGACAGTAACTGTTTAACTGTTGTTCATAGTGTTTCCGCTTGACTGCGTGGCATTTACCACTCAGTCGTTAGGTCACATATACAAAACACCCATTTCCGTTTTATTTGGTAGTGACTGTTGTTTGACAAATATGACTTAGGGCGTGATAGATGAATTGGTTACTGTCTTCTCAACTAAAATTATGCAGATGATGTAGTCCTGTTTGGCAAAGACGACAAAATAAGGTCTTCTGACCACTTTAAGCAATAATGCCAGTGTGCTTGGAATGTGTTTCTTTCTCTCTAAGTGCAAAATTTTGTTTCAGGACTGGTCTGCATCAACGCTTGAATTAACGGTAGGGAGTGGAATAGTTGAGTGTGTCAATCAATTCACTCATCTTAGAAGTCTGACTATCCCGAAGGGTTGGTGTCTGACATAATCTCAGCACGGATTCAGGAGGCTCAATTGACGTCTACCAACTTGCATCACTTATAGCCTAGGTCAGATGTACGTTTGTCAACTAAAAAGAGAGTTTATTGCTCATCGGTTCTCTCCGTCATAATTTATGATTGTGAAACGTGGCCATTAAGAATAGAAGATATTCATGGGCTACTAGTATTCGACCATAGGTGTCTTGGAAGCACTCCTCGTGTATTTTGGGACCTTCTAACAAGCGATGCCTGGGATAGTAATGAGGTACTAGATAAGGATGGCAAATCGAGTGATGAGATAGTAAACCCCCATCTAATGGGGTGGTTAGGACGTGTGTTACGAATGCTCAACCATTGCTTACCTCGACGGGCGATGTTGTCTGTTGTAGGAGTAGGTTTGGAGGAAGCTAGAGGCGACCAAACCATGACATTTCAACAGTTCATAGTGACACCGAATGTTAGACTAAGCCCTGTAGGTAGATGCAAACTATCTGGTTGGAGTCCATGTGATCATTGTAACCAGTCGTTAGAGACTTTGGAGGACATAGCTTAAAATAGGTCGCAATGATGCAGGTGCATCTACTCTTTGTCTCCACTTAGTTTTCAAGCTCCTAACTCCCCCTCCCCAATGAATGTTTTTATTCCACCAGTTCACATTTTTTCTCGAATCGTACCTTCGATGCATGGTCTTATTTAATACTGTTGCAACCTCTACTTCTTTGGGATTTGTTTAATCTGTACTAAGGGAGTGTGTGTACTTAAACTGATGCACTCATATGCCAGTTTCTACATTATATATAACCGACGTCTTTTAAAGATTTATTTCTTTTCAACTAGGTTCTTGCAAAAACATGTGTGAAACACCTCATAAGTTACGCTAACATAGTGGAAAAGAAATTTGATTTATCGATTGTTTTCATTGTGTTTATAGTTTTATAATCTTTGTCTTGAAAAGAGATTAGATTTATTGAGATCACAGAGCGATCTAAATTGAGCAACCAATGAAATTTGGGGATACTAGACGACTATTTCGTCGTAGTCTGGGTTTCTACATGAATGTTCATCAACGACTTCGTGGTCAGGAATCGAGCGTAGGACCTTTAGTCTAGCACGCGAACGCTTAACCTCTAGACCACTGAGCTGGCATCCAGTAGTGTACGAGTCTACCTTTACTCGGTCCATGATTTAGTCTATACATTGTTTGTGTTTCATAACCAGACTAATTATCTATAGTTTTCATAAAGCAGTTTAGTGTTGTTTTATTCCTTTTAACCTGTTTTTTCTATTTTGAATTGCATATATCATCTGTTAGAATTTTAATCACTCCGAACGGGAAATAATTCGATTACTATACGAAAGAGATAATGAACTTCGTGAAGCTCAGGTTAGTAATTTATTTAAATTATTCTGTAATGTGTTGGTTAACTTCGTGTTTATGACGTTCATACAACATTTGTTTTTTTTGGATTCTGAACCAATCTTAGATTTTAGTGGGGAGAAAACGAGTATTAATCTAGTGGTAAAGACCTCAAGGTCTTGCTGACTAGAATCATTTTTTTTTATATACACAAGTGTAGGCAAGAGCGTTTTCATTATTTTCTTATTGCGATAAGTCTTTATCGTTCACATAAGTGTTTGGTCTGCACGGTCAAGTTCGTCATTAATATCGCAATATTCGTTGTACATCCTATAATTAGAAAAAATCAGTTGGGCCATGAAAACATCTCTGGTTGTTCTGATGCCAAAATCCTTAGAAATATCGGTAATGGATAATGAAAAACAATTGTTTCCACCTGTATTTGTTTCTAATTGAGATTTAACCCTCTAGGGTTTATAGCACATAAGTTATCTACAATAAAGATCCAATTGATACGTTTTTGACTCATGTTAAATAGTTTGTCCACTGTCGAAATGCATTAATCTTGATACGTTATCTGGCAAACTCAAGAGTTAATTTGTCTTGCTTAAGAAGTACAGCCAATCAGTCCTTTTAAAGCATTAATCTATTTACTACATGTCCAGTACTATAGAGGATTTTCCGGATAAGATATTTCAGCAAGATCATTCCAATTTTCATTTACATTTCAGAAATACAAGAAAATATACATATCATAAAGACTGAAAATCTTTTATAAAAAAATTGCTAGAATGATTACTAGTTGCGTTTCTTCAACTATGAAAGCTTCCGGTTCTGCTTATAACCTTTTTCATTTCAAAATATGTTTCCTGAATTAGATACTGTAACGATTTAACATTTGTGTTTAGAAGTATTGGCTCTGATATACTTCTGTCTTGTTCCATATCAACGAATGAACTAACGTTAGGGAGTGAATTAGTCCAGTGCATCGATTATTTGACTTGTCTCAGAAGTCTCATCACCCTTGATAGGTTGATATCTGACGAAATCTAGGTTCAGGTTTAGAAAGCTCGCTAAGCTTTTGCCGAATTACATCACTCGTGATGTAAAGAATATTCACATCTGCCAACTGAAGGGTAGCTACTGTGCAGCAGTATGCTCTTTATTGCTCTATGGCTGTAAAGCATGGTCCATGGAAGTAAAAGACATGGATAGGCCGCAGGTTTATTGTCATACGTGTTTTAAAATCATTATTCGCGTAGCGTGAAAAAATCGAGTAGACAATGTTAATGTTAAGAATATAGTTTATGAAGTTGTGAGTCTTTATAGACTGATATGGTTGGAACATGGATCACATATGCATAACCACTGCCTGCCTAATTGCATGTTGTTATCTGGTGTAATAGAATAAAACTAGGAATGATCAAACCAAAATATGGCATCAGTTCATGAAGTCATTCATTATCGATCTTAGCTATGTAGATATATGCAGACTACCTGATCTTAGCAATACATTCATTTATCAGTCAGATGTGTTGGCCGACTAAGGTTACATCCAGTCATAATGTTGGAGATACATTTATTCTTTTCCCCTAGATCTTGAGTCCCAGTCTCTTCATGCATGCCCTCTCATTTTTTTTCTTTTCGAACCATGTTCTCAATGTTTAGTCTTTTTCAATATTATTACCGTTACATTATTTCTATTCACTTACTACTCATGTTAATTTTGACTCATCATGTTAAAACACTTTTGTGGCAGGCTTTACTTTGTATCTGATTAGGTTTTCCGGTTGATAAAAAAGATGAAGTTTTGAATGTCATGGATGCTTTTTACTTGATAAAATTACATTTCCCGGTTGTTTACGAGATTTAAAATGGCCATTTTCATGATGATGTCAAAATGGTACACCATTAACAGGACTAAAATCTCTCGAGTATCTACGCAACATGACTTGGCCTTTTCCCTAAGTCTAGGAAATATTGAGGAACACTGTAGAAAAATACATAATATGCAAGAATTTACAAATTGCAAAGTGAAAGTTAAGTGATGTCAAAAACATGTAGCCTCTTTCCATGGCTGTTTAATCGGAAAATTTTATTTGGTATTCGTGAAATTTGCGAAAACCGAAAGAGGTCGAAAGAAAAACTTACATAAAGATAAATGGCTTCTGGCGTAGTTTTTACAACAGAATTGTCAGTGAAAAGAGTTATAAAACGTCCCTTTCAATGTGTTTAGTTGCTTTTCGTGTTTTAGGGCTAAAGTTAACAGTTTAGTATTTAAAAAGTTTAACTGTAAGACTGGCCAATGTGTGTTACGAACTTATTCATTTCCAAGTAATCATCAGAGGAAGAAACTGGCATGCATACGGTATGATCATCAGCACAGCTATACGGGAACAATGTTCAACCATGAGAGGACTCCATACTTGTATTCCATTGGGAAGCTCAAATATAATGTGAAACTTAAAAATTGTTATACAATGCACTTAGGTGAACACTCTTGTTAATATTATGAGCTAACAAATCAACATTAGAAATATCTAGCTAATCAATACTGATGATAAAGCTTACTTTCACCAGAAAATGTGCTTGTTTAAATGAAGTTCATCTATAATACATTTGTTGTAGTGTGTTTATGAGCCACTGACCTGTTGATTAAAATGGTTATCTAAAGCGATATTCGTTTGTTTCAAATTATCTTTGTCAATCTCTCATTGTTGTTTCATTAAGTCATATCACTTTCATTTTCATTTTCATTATAGATATTAATTGATTGGTTAGAACAAATAGTTCGTGAGCAGATCGAAGAAGTTGCTGAGAAATACGAATGTTTATTCAATCAGACAACTGCTTGGTAATTTATTTTTTTAACCTTTATTCTAATTCATGCAACTCACATTGTACCTGTTTATATACTCGGCTTTTCGGAGTGAGTGATACCATACTCAGCTGTTTGTACCAATTTAGGTGACGGAAGGATTCGGATGTACGAGCTGTTAATTGAAAGCTGACTGTTGTAACCACTAGTCTATTGTATTTTATTTGTATGCATGTTTTAAACATCGATATTTCGTTTTGTTGGTAATGTAGTCTTTCAAATGTAGTGGTTTAATGTCATTGGAGTGATGGTATTTTGGCTTAATCTTCCTTCAACTATCCACTTTGAGTGTAGTATGAATATTAGAATTTCTCCGTTACTAACTGCCATCCTTTACCTAACATCTTATCCAAGAATTATGCTGATATCATGCAGCCACTTATTGACACATTTTCAGTCGTTTTATTGTAATGCTCTGTGTTTGGGAGTTGATGCTGATATACGCTTTCTATATACGACCTCGGTTACTTGAGAGAAAAGATGAAGATTAAGAAAGGAAGCTTATTTGGTAAAATCGAATCGTATGTACATGTATGTACTCATTTATCTATATCCTTTAGGAGATTAAGTATGTCAGTGGTTTATGTATCATCTTTTAAAAATAAAAGCCATCTCTTGGTCAACCATATGCGTTGATCATTTTGCAATTTCTGATTGACCCACTGTTCCAGACTTCTCGATTAATGTTATATCAACCAAACAGATGAAAGTTTAAATGGTTCTAATACTTCAGTTTTTGTCTGTTGGTAGAAATATCAATTATAAACTAACATCCTTGTTTTTCTGTAAGCAATGGGAAAAACATCTAAAACTCACATAGTAATCTGCAATAAAGGGTCAGTAATAGAATAGTAATGATTACAGTTTAGAAAATCAATATTATGAGATTGATTAAAGTGAAAAACGAATTCTAACCAATTGACTCCACTATAATTTGTTCTTTATGGAACCTAAACTCTTGTAAGCTCTAATGGCTATTACTGGAAAATTTCAAAATGGGAAGAACAAGTTTATATTTCACGATATCATTTACATATGAAGTTTTGTCACAGAAAATTGTCAGTTGAATTGTTTGCTGTGACTACTAGGAACACTTATTCAGTTATTCTTCATCTAATTATTTTAATCTATAACCTGTGTACTAACTATTATAGAGTCTATTGATTTGAGTCTCATCGCAAATATAAATTCCTTCATACATTTTTCATACCCACCTTTTAAAGCATAAATTAATACAGTGACAGGTTATTTATTTATCTAAACACATAAACATTGGTACAATAAGGTACCAAATAGATATGCGCCACATAAATCATTTAATTTGTGTGGGGGCTGTGATACTGCTTGGGTGCCCAGACCGAGGGCCACACCCGGAGTCTTTGACCAAGAGGTCTAATCCACAAGGTAGTGGAGCAACGTCAGGAGATGCAGTTCCATGGTAGTCGGTAGCCAACAATGTGTTCATACGCCATTTGTTCCTTCAGGATATTGGATCAGGGTTTTCCAACTAACTCCCCTAGGTGGGCTCTCCATATCCACCAACTCGGTTAAAGCGCCGAACATTTGCTTTTCGTCCTCTGCATTTCGTAAAGAACACTCCCGCCACGAGAATTTAGTGAGTAGGACTTCCGTTGCAGTGGTTGTATGCACGTGACCATGTGAGAGTATTTGGAGAGAGTGAGAGCTGATTCTCCTCACTCGGCCATACCAGGGCATTTAGGGGCTACAAATTCACTTTGACCAAGAATAACTTGACATTGAAATATTCAGACGTATTATTTTGATTGTACGAAATATATTCTGTATTATTTCTTTTGTACTATTTAAATTTGTGTTAATTTTATTTCGGTCATTTATTGACTCTGAAGAAGTGGCTTACATTAAATCACAAAACGTCGTCAGAAATACAATTTTCTTACTTATTGGGATATAACAAAAAATATTTTTATTATTAAAGTCCTTTATAATTATCATCTCGAAATCACGCCAAATATTGCCTTTTAGTTAGTAAGTTAATAAAATGTAATGTAACTACAGGTTTGCATAGCTCTCAAATGCCTTGGTACGGCCAAGAGTGGGTAGAGTCCGCTCTCCCTCTCGAAATGCTCTCACATGGTTACGCGTATATAGCCTCTGTCAGGAAAGTCCTACTCATTTTCTTCTCGTGGCGGTGGTGTTGTCCACGAAATTGAGAAGACGAAAAGCGAATGTTCGGCTCTTGAACCGGGTTGGCGGACACGGAGAGCCCACCTAAGGGAGTTAGTTGGAAAACTCTGATTCCAAACCAATCGTGCACATGGGCTCCAATATCCTGAGGGAACAAATGGCGTATGAACATATTGTTGGTCACCGGCTACCATGAGACTTCATCTTCTCACGATGCTCCACTACCTTGTGGACCAGACCTTTAGGTCTAAGACTCCGGGTGTGGCTCCCTAAGAAAACCACCTGCTTTGGTTTGGGTACCCGGGCAGTATCGTAGCCATCATACAAATCAAATGAGATTTGTATGGCGCATATGTATTTGGTGCCTCCTTGTACCAATATCTATTTTTTTCAAATAAAATATAAGGTACAGGTTTGCATATTCGACTCCAATTCAAATCTTCTTTGTGTTCAGGCTAGTGATACTTTTTGTATTACTAAACTTATTTGGACAAATCCAAAACTGAACGGTGATATCAGAATTGTGGAATCACTAAATGGTAATTATTTTTGCGCTATTTAGATTGAATATTTGATGAATAAATTTCAGAAGGGGTTTTGTGGATATTATAGCAATTTTAATAGTTGATATCATGAGTCAGTTGACGCTAGACCACCATGAAAAATCTGGAAGCACTGGACGGCCGTTTTGTCGTACTGTGGAACTCCTCGGCAGTGCGCATCCACGATCCCACCTAGCAAGATTCGAACCCAGGACCTATTAGTCTGGCACGTGAGCGCTTAACCATTAGACCACTGAGCCGGTAGCCAACGGTGTTAATGTTTAACCTCAACTAATCCAGCGATCTTTTCATACCTAAGGAGTAATACAACTTGATTAATTTTTTATTTATGCTCTTATTTCACAGGGAGAATACGGCACATTTATTGAGTTATCTTTCACAATCGGAGCTTACTAAACATCGTTTGGTAAAAGAATTGGTATGTGATTTTGTTTTCAAAGTAGTGTAGGGGTTTTCTAGAATTTTAGTATTATTAGTATTATCATGTAAATAAGTTTTGGCCTCTGTACTCCAGTCATATTACCATATTCTCATTTTTCAATGTTTAAGCCTCATGAAGTTGAAGTATGAAAGTTAAGAGCTCAGTTAACTGGTCAATATTGCGAATATTCATTATGTTATGATGCAGATTAACTGAAACTAAGAATATAGACTCTGTAGTAGTAGTAGTAGTGGTTTAAAAGTTTTTTTATCATGTAAGCTGTCAATCCTGAGCTCAATCTTATACGTTTATGATTATGGTTGTTCCCGAGGCAAGCCCTAACTTGGAATCCTGAAGGGAAGCGGAAAAGAGAGAGGCCATAGAACACATAACGTCGGGAAATAGAATCAGATATGAAAAGGATGAATAACAACTGGAAAGGATTGCTCAGGACAGGGTTGGATGGAGAATGCTGGTGAGTGGCCTATGCTCCTCCATGAGGAGTAACAGGCGTAAGTAAGTACCGTTGAAATCTTCCACTAGAAACAAAAAGAAAAATAATGAAACTAATATCTGTCCAACCCCAAGTGAAACAAATCTTCACAAGCTTATTTAATTAAATCAAATTGACATTGTTTAGCTTTCTTTATTTGTAAACAAGTTCACTAGTTCACTTTAAATCGTTCCTACAAATTTATTCCCATTATGTGTATTAGCATCCGGATGCTGTAACCCTAACAGGCAATGAATTGGATCAGAAAGATCAAATTGATAATGATCGATTTATAAACTATTTATTTCTATGTCTTCGTGGTGGAGATCTTCATCGTGTAAGTGGATTACAAATTTTTTTTCATTTCTTCACATTACTATTATTTCTACTTCAATTTGTGTAGGCTAAAAAGTTTTTTCCCTAGATACCTTTGAAGAATTGTTCATGTATAGTAAGTAGTGTTGAAGTTAAATTTAGGGTATTCCATAAAATGCATGATGAATTGATGGAACTATGAGTGTTTATCGAATGAGGCAGCTGAAATATGTGTTACATATGGTCATGCGCATCAGCTCAAGTTTCTACATCACATCAACATTAAGATGTCTGAATAATTTAATTATTAGGAATATTAGTGGTAGTAAGGAAGATCAAGCATAGAAGAAAATCTGAATTTATGAAATAAAAATTCAAATAATCAAGCAACTTGGTATTTCTGGAAAGACGAATAGTGAATACACCCGCCCCCGTGCTAACGATGCTAAGTCATGTCATTTAGAGTTTATAATCATTGGTTACGGTAATTATGTGGAAGTCAACCAAATTGTCTGCATCTACGTTCACGGCCCAATCCAACAGTTAGTGACTTGATGGAATGGTGTCAAGTTTTTGTTTGACCACTCCTGGCTTTCTTTCAGCCTACTCATACACAAGCTGTCATCGGACATCGAGGTGGTGGTTGGGAGTGCGGGATGTGTCCCAACCACCTCAGTCGATTAAGATTCATTACTTCACCAATCGACTTGGAGTTCTTACCTAGTACTCTAGGTCTGTGGTCATTATTGCTCACTAGGTGGTCCCAACCTATGCTTGAAATATTTCGAAGGTGTCCGTATACAAATAACGATATATTCACGACAAGATTTTCTACAAAATGAGTAGTATACTGATCAGTCGATGACGCAAAATGATACGATATAGTCAAGTGTAACAACTATTTAATGATCATTCCTATTTCCTTCGAAATACCTCATATTTATAGCAATGCATGTCCGATTTCTGCATATATTGTTCGAAATATTTTTGAAAGCTATCAAGAGTTAGGTTCTTCATTTGGTTGTTTCACGCTTTGTTATGATCGTAAGCACTGACAATCTTCACAAAATTATTCTATCAGTAATCATGCAGATATTAAAGTGACAATTTTATGCACAAGAGATTTCCCGAGTATAGTATTTTCAACAACACGGGAAACCAACTGTTGTTCTTTTAGTCTTCTTAACCTCACTCCCACTCTGGAACTCTTGGTTCATAATTTAATGCATTCCGTTTTCACGCTTTGTTATGATCGTAATCACTGACAATCTTCACAAATTTATTCTATCAGTAATCATGCAGATATTAAAGTGACAATTTTATGCACAAGAGGTTTCCCGAGTATAGTATTTTCAACAACACGGGAAACCAACTGTTGTTCTTTTAGTCTTCTTAACCTCACTCCCACTCTGGAACTCTTGGTTCATAATTTAATGCATTCCGTTTTCACTGGGTTATCTCAATAAACAGCTTTCGATACTTCGTGAACTTACTGAGTTTTTCTGAAGTTCTACAGACTTCTATAAGCTCAGTTTGTATCTCAGTTTGTATACTTTAGATTGGAATTACAAAAAAATATTCTCTTCCATTGAATAAATTCATTTGACTTCATTTATTATTGTTTTTAAGGCTCAACTTCTTTGTACACAACGTGGTGAATTTTGGCGTGCTATTTCACTTGAAGGTTGGCGACCATTTCATTATTCTGGTTTTGTGGAAAGTGAATCAACTCAATTTCAAACATTAAAAAATACAGATGAAAATTTTACTCATTCGAAACCATTACAAATGAAATTCAGTATCGAAGGGAATCCAACGAGAATTTTATACAAATCTGTATGTTGGTGGAATTCAGAGAATGTAAGTTCTTATTTGAATATTGACATTATTCATATCAACTGCTACGGCTCAATTTCGTGGATTGGTTGAAGTTAGACATTAACACCGTTGGATACTGATTCAGTGGTCTAGAGGTTAAGTGCTCGCGTGCGAGGCTGATAGGTTCTGGGTTCGAATCTCGCGAGGCGGGATTATGGATGCGCACTACTGCGGAGTCCCGTACTAGGACGAAACGGCCTTCGAGTGCTTCCAGATTTTCCATGTTGGTCTAGCTTGAATTGAAACATGAATTCAACCATTAAGGACGATTTATTTTTCACTTTATATCTTATAAATGTTATTTGATGTTAAAACCAGCTTTATATCGAAGAAAGTTTTCTTTGTCTCATATTGAACGTTTTATTGATTTTTTTCTCATTATTATTTACGTATAGATAAAATTACGTTCATTTGAACGAGCTATTTATGCTACATTATCAGGAAATTTAAATGTTCTATCACAAATTTTACCAACTTCATGGACAGATCAAACATGGGCACATTGTCGTGCTTTAGTTGAAGCTCGTGTAGATTCTAGTCTACGTAGCCTATTGAATACTGGCCCTAGGGCTGATACACTGGTAAGTTGAAAAAAATTTTCTGTTTATGTTTTAAGAGTATCTGTGCTAAAAATGTGTCATTAGAAAAAAATAATAATTCTGGTAATGTTATATGACACTTCTGTATATCATAAACAATATCTGTTTATAAAAACCAGGTTGATTATTTCATCTTGAATTAATGTATCTTGATTCGACGTGGTGGTCGGATTCGCCTATCGTGATGAACCAATCGAGCTATACTGGCGGAACAATTGTTCCTCAAGGTCCTACCATGCTAGAAATGTCGGTTGAAAAACGGTAAAACTAAAAGCAGCAAACCCAAGGTCTGAGGGCGAAGTCGTACTGCTGACTGTACAGAGGTGTGACGGCAGCAAGATGTTTCCTTCAGACAACCAACATAACAGCGATGCTGGCTTTCCACAAGGAGGGGTGGGGCTAGAAAAGGTCTACCCTAAAAATGGACACCTCGCCTTATCCTATGGATATCCGTCTCCGGCGGTTAGGTCTAAAATTATTATGAAATAATTCTTAGATACTTCGTCCTGACTGCTTCAACGACAGGATAGATTGTTCAGTAAGGCTCGTTTCGACCACGCAATATCATGAATCAAAATATGGAGTGGGAAAATGTCTATCTCACTGACTGGTGACTTGAAATATTGACTTCTTTTTTATAACCGCTTCTTGACACTTTACGTCTTGTCTAATACTCTTTAACCAACGCATTTCACTCAACTTAACGCAAATCACTACAAGAATTGTTTTGAGATACGATGTGTTTAAACGAAGCTGAACAAAAGAGATGTACAGTAATAAAAATACATTTTTACGTAGAATTTCAATGAAAACTCCCAGTATTCTCTTGACTTTTCCATCAGTCAATCAGTCAGCTACAACGTAGGACCAGGCACATATATGCATCAGTCCAAGTTGCCATACCTCATTAACGCAACAAGATGGACACCGGATTCATAAAAGTAGTTAATTCAAAGGTGGTAATATATAAAAGAAAGATTGCAATAAGGATATAGTACGGGAAGAAAAAATTAGTTCATAGAAAGAAAGATATGAAGCGATTTTAATCTCTTAGTTTAAGGGAAGACAGACAGTGTATACACCTACGCCATTGTGATCGATTCTGAGCCATGTCACCCAGAGTCTCCAACCATTGGCTATGATAGTCACACGGACCCCAACCAAGTAGTCTGCATCTACCAACATGGCTCAGACTAGAAGTTAGTGACTTCAAGCACTGATGTCACGTTTTGGTTTGGCCGCCCCTAACTTTCTTCCAACCATCTCCAGCACCGGTTAGCATTGCACGTCGTGGTAATCGGTGTTCGGGCATACATAACATGTGGCCCAACCATCTCAGTCAATGAAGATTCACAACCTCATCAACTGATTTACTATTATTCCCTAATACCCTGCGTCTAACCTCACTATTACTTACCCGGTGATCCCAGCAGACGCCAGCAATATTTCTGAGGCATCTGTGGACAAATACTAGTAGCTTACGAGTGTCTTCTACTCTTAATGGCCATGTTTCGCTGCCGTAAAGTAGAACAGAACGGACTGCCGCGCAGTATACTCGTCCTTTTATTGATAGACGGATATCTCGCCTTCGCCATAGGTGACGTAAGTTGGCAAAAGCCAAACGAGCTTTTCGAATCCGTGCTGAGATTTCGTCAGACACCAACACATTAGGGCTGATCAGACTTCCAAGATAAGTGAAGTTGTCAACGCGTTCGACTACTTCACTCCCTATCGTTAGTTCAGGTATTGACGCAGACCAGTCCTGAAGCAACAACTTGGATTTAGAAGGAGAGAAGCGCATTCCAAACATTCTGGCATTGTTGCTTAGTGCTACCAAAAGACTCTGCATTTTGTCAGCGTCTTCACCAAACAGGACTATGTCATCTGCGTATTCTAAGTCGATAAGTGGACCTCCTGGATGGAGATCAATACCCGAGAATTCAGCGTTGATTAGTTAAAAACAGATCAATCAGTCTGCATTATGCATAGAATTGCTGGGATTCTATCTTCCTAATATGTACAATCTTACCTAATAGGAAAATTCTTTCATTGTTTTGAATAATTTATTCTAATTTAATTCTTAAAATATTAATTTATTAGGCTGTTACCGGGAAAACATCTAAATATTGGCCTCTGGATGGAGGTTTAAGCTTGCCTGAATCAGCTTGGACACCGGGTGATTGGACATTATCCGATGTATTTACACGTGTCGATGCACGTTTAGGTTGGTCTGCTACTGGATGTTTAGAAAAATGTAATAATCTACGCATGAGATCAGTATTGTGTTCTGCAATGAATGATTTCTTAATGGATGATACTTCATATTTGTACACGAATGATGATATTGGTGGCAGTGGTGCCGGTGGGAATGACATGGAATCACCTTCTGTATATGCTATTATTTATTGCATTTTCTATGCTGTACAACAGACTATCATGTTAAAGAATTATGATTGTAAGTTTTATTGAACAAAACATTTGATCTTTAAGTGTAATTTTTTTATGTTTTAAAATGCAAGAGAAAGGTAAATTCATGTCATTTACTAATTGGCCACTGTTTATATTATTATTTATTTTAACACATAGATATTGGTACAAGGAGGCACGAAATACATATGCGCCACACAAATCTCATTTGATATGTGTGAGGGCTGTGATACTTCCCGGGTGCCCAGACAGAAGCAGGTGGTTTACTTAGGGGGCCACACCTCGAGCCTTTGACCTAAAGGTCTGATCCACAAGGCAGTGGAGCATCGTGAGGCGATGCAGTCCCATGGTAGCCGGTGACCAACGATATGTTCATACGCCATTTGTTCCCTCAGGATACTGGAGCCCACGTGAACCATTGGTTTGGGATCCGATTAAGGTGCCGGACATTCGCTTTTCGTCCTCTCATTTTCGTAAACGACACCCCTGCCACGAGAAGGCATTGAGTAGGACTTCCCTGGCAGAGGCTATATATGCGTGTGAAATCATTTCGAGAGGGAGAGCGGACTCTCCCCACTCCCGACAATACCAGGGCATCTGGGGGCTGTTTATAAGCTGTAATAGAAGACTTAAACAATTTCATTTTAATATTGATGATGAAAGCATATACAGTTTAGATACTTAATTTTTCATAAGTTTCATATTGAATTCGTTAACTATATACCGTTTTTTTGTATTTGTGTGTGGTTAGTTAGATTAGTGTTCCTTGTACAATTAACATACATTACAGTCTGTTGGATATGAACGCTTTCCTGATCGTTTAACTGCATTGATCGAAAGAATGTTTATTATTGAGTTACAACCACTGTCTCAAATTCTGTATCTTTCAAAAAAGGTCTATTATGCAAACATTTTAGATGAAGTTTTGTCATAACAGCGCTCATCTTAAGATTTCTACAGGTCATCTGAGTAATACTTGTGACCAAAGTGGGTTTGTACACAATTTTGGACTTTGTGTGCATTATTTGTTTAAAATCTAGACTTTCCAACTCCTCTTGGTAAGCTATCCCTATCTACCGTCTTGATTTAAATGGTAGATGTTTGCTTTTACCTTCTCACTTTTTAGGGAAACATCCTACCATATAAAGGTAGTGAGTTGTAAGACTTCCCTGAAAGAATGTATGATATACTCAATAATTTTTAGAGCTTTCCGGGTAAGAAAAAACGAGCAGACTCCTCACAATACATGACATTGGTCACTACTCATTTGGTTATTATTTAGAAAATGCCTGTTGCTTATTGATGAATTTTCTTTATTGTCAGTGTCTAGCGCATTTGTTGACTTCAGTACATTCTATTTTCAATTTTTACAGCTTTTCTCCTAACTTTAGCCAATCTTATGCCGAAACTTGTGTGTTATGGTTTAGGCGATGGTATTGTACCAGATGTAACTCCATTACAACCGCCAAATTTGAATAGAGTTGGGAATATTGATCAAGTAGTTTGTCACACACTTCGATTTCTGACTCATTTTGTCCTGTTTTTAAAATCAGCAGATTCTGATATTCCGGTAATTAATATTTTCTTTTTTAGAAATTTTTTCTCTGGTTTATTTACAACTTTTTGTTAGAACTTTGAGATTGTTTCTTTCGTACAAACGGCTAGTTTGGTAGCTCACTATATAATGATTTGTTTTTCACCAGTTTGAAGCAAACAAACGGTTGAGTTCTTGTCATCACATCATGACAACAATGAAGTCACGGTACCTTAATCTATTTAGTAACAACCTTTTTTATCGTTAGACGCAGTTGGTCGTCATGTAACAATCGTGGTTATGTCGTAATATTGGTTTACTGTTATGATTTATACAAACCCGTATCATGTTTGTTTCCACTTGCACAATTTTTAAAAGGTACTGAGACCATAAACGCGGAAAGTTTTTTTGTAGATTGCTGTTATTTATGATCTCACTTTGATAGGACCTTCTAACCTAACGGGATGTCAATGACCATTAATGAGTATCCAGTGGATTAGCACAGGTTGCGCCCTGGTACTTAGTACTAAACTGACGCTATACAGACCAGACACCAATGCTACAGAGATTCCGGACAATTTCACGAGTAACAAATTTTTCGAATTGACAGATGGAGAGTAAATTTGGATTACTTCGGTAGATTCTTGAATACGGGTCTTTTATAACAAAACTTTCCGGACTACATAGTCAGAATTGTCTGTTGTATGATCTACATGAATTTGTGAACATTGAAAACGTCAAGTTTAAACGGTACCTGTGGTTTTAGAACTGATATACCATATTTTGCATTGTATGATAGCACTCAATAAATCAACACTTCAATGGTTTGAGGCCACTTTGAGGAGTATTGAATTTGAATTACTTCTTAGTTAGTTACTGTGTAAGCTGAAGTCTAAAATCAATATAAATGGAAGTATGCTACACAGTTGAAATAAACCAGAATAGCAAGTTGATGCTCTATAAAATAAATTCATTTATGACCGAATAATTGTAATTATCGTTTTTTGAATAGAAAAGCGGAGTAAACCATTTCATTCATTAGTATTCATAACCTTATTTATGTGTGGTGTGCAATATTGTTCAGAGGCGAAGAGTGAAGATGGTGGTTTTTGTAGTAGGTTACTGTCTAAGCTTTTGGCCTAACAGTGTAATTCATGCGCTATCCGTCTCCTCAGGATCCTGGAGTCCATGAATATTGTCATTTTGGAATGCGGATTTCTCGAATTCCCTAGAAGAACTCGGTTTAAACATCATATGACTGGTATAACTTAAACATGACATGGCAGCTTTGCATACTGACTAGGAAAAGTCCATTTTCATCACGTTATGTCTACCTGTTTGTGTATACCTGTTTATTTTTTCAATGACGTTCGTAAAATAGAATCAGTCGCGTATGGTCACCAGAAATTTTATGGTATAGTTCATCTTTGGTAAATCTCAACGTCATATTGTGTTCCTGAATAAGGTGTCTAATCTCCATAGTCTTGACTAGTTACATGGAATGCTGTTACTCAACTCACTAATATAATATTTTCTGATGAACCACGAGCTGGTTAGGAGTAAAAACGTGATCAACTTAAATAAGGATTTATGTAAAATTATTAGTTTGCTAATCAATTCACCGGCTATCCGATTTCTGAAACTGTTTACAATATCGTACGCTCTAACTAAAGGCTATCACTTAACTGATCTAGGATTTTAACTTCAAATTGGTTGTGTCCAATCCTTTAACAAGCCATGTTTCACAAATCTAAGTTTGATCAATAAGGTTGTTTGATTAACTGATACAACAGATTCCAAACTTTCATAACCTATTATCCCAACTATGAAGCGGTTTCTTAGTTTATTTATTTTATTTAAATACCTAAAAATTGGTACAAGTAGGCACCGAATATACACGCGCCACATAAATCATTCGATTTGTGTGAGGAATGAGATACTGCTCGGACGTCCAAACCGAAGCAGGTGGTTTTCTTAGGGGGCCACACCTGGATCGTTTGACCTAATGGTCTGACCCAGAAGGCAGTGGAGCAACGTCAGGAGACGCAGTTCCATGGTATCCCATGACCATGTGCACGATTGGTTTGGGATCAGGGTTTTCTATCTAACTCCCCTAGGTGTGGGCTCTCCGTGTCCACCAACCCGGTTCAAGCGCCGAACATTTGCTTTTCGTCCTTTAAATTTCGTAAACAACACCCCCTCCACGAGAATTCAGTGAGCAGGACTTCCGTTGCAGTGGTTGTATGCACGTGACCATGTGAGAGTATTTGGAGAGAGTGAGAGCTGATTCTCCCCATTCTCGACCGTACCAAGGCATTTACAAACCTACCAGGGCATTTTGAGGGGGTTCTTAGTAGTCAGAGTTGTTCCACTTATTCACTCCCATAACTTTGATATATAAAGTCGAATGGTATCATTTGTATAGCTTGAAACTACTCATGTTAGAATTACTACTACGTTCATAAATTATTTAGTACATAAACTCAAGTATGTATTTTTTGTTTTGTTAATTACACTTTAAACAATACAATTCATTCGATTACTTGTTCACTATTCTATTTTTATCTCTGTTTTCTCTATTTTTTAAATTATAGGATGAGCCATATTCAGAAATTATTAAAGCTTATTTATGCTTTTTAATAGTGAATAAAGAAACAGATTTAGTTGCCTATTATGTTTCTGTATTACCCACTGAATCAGTACAAATTCAATGGTATTCATGGTTTTTAACAGGTATTCAACTAAAACATATTAGAATAATTTTACCTATTATCTCATTGTTGATATGTTCAAATATGTTTGGGTGTTCAGACTCAAAATAGCCTTGTGGTTAGATGATGATAGCATGGTGTTTAAAGTGATAAGCAATGGATTTGTATCTCAATGCAATAATTAATTCTAGGATACAAATACATTTAGGTGACAAGTCTTGAATAGACGAAAATGTATTTCCTGGACTTTATTCCTTGTTAGAATCGAAATTTATTGAAAACTTATGATTCAATGACAAGATCTGAAGTTTGTGCTGATGATGTCGTTCAGAAGAACGATGAAAGCTCCACGACCAAACCATCCAGCTCAGAGAACAAAACTCCACCAAAAAGATTAAGGGAATCCTATCTAGATGTACATAATTCAATAGAGATGATCAATTGCAGTATTGTATAAATACAAATCCTTCCTATGATCTTTCGTCTCACTCTCATCAACAGTCCCCTGCATTGAATTAAATTTAGAACGATTATATTTTAGACCACTAGGTTGAAATTCAATAGTTCAATTTGTAAAACTGAACGATTTGATATCATCTATAAGTCACTTTTTCATTTTAGACTTCATAAACTTCAATGATCTTTGATACTGTAAATCACTGGGTTGTTGAGAAATTCATCTCTCTGATTTTAAAACATGTCATTCAAAAACATTTCAGTCAGTCAATCAGTAACAACGTAGAACTTCGTACGTACGTACATCAGTTCAAGTTGCAATACCACATTAGCACAGAGATACAATTGTCGATTCAAATCACGTAGTGGTAGAGGTAGTAAGAGTATAAGCAGTAATCGGGAAGATTAGGGTTTGGAGATGTTATTTAGAGAGTATAATCCAGTGAAATAAATTTGGAAAGAGAAAAAGAAAAGGGACATAAAGAATACAGAAGATTAGAATTTGAGAGAATACAAAGAGTGGATGCACCTGCGCCATTGTAAACGATTTTGAGCCATGTCATTCAGGGTCTCTAACCATCGGTTGCTATCGTCTCGCTGATCCCAACCAGGTAGTCTACATCTACCAACATGGCTCAGTCCACTTGTCAGTGACTTCATGGACTTGTGTCATGTTCAAAAACATTTATTATTATTAAACAGACAGTCTATAGCTGCGAAAATAGTTCAAACCGACTGTTGCTGTCCTCATGATTTAATGTCACATCTTGGTTCTTCTAACCAAGTTCTACTTTACCCAATATTAACTGTCAAGGTAGGCAATGGTGAATGAAATACATATATATCCCAATCATTTCAACTGATCTAGATTCTAAACCTTATCGATGTCGTTCATTTAGATAATTTCATCATTCATTTTAAGTCTTTAACAATTTTCATCTGATAGAATCAATGCCCTACTTTTACCATTCACATTTCATTTATAGAAATCAATCATCCAACTGAACGTGAACATTGTTTATCATTAGCTGTTGATTATGGTTTTAATTTATCTAAATTAACAAGATCCATAGTAAGATTATCCAAACAACGAATTGATTTATCATCAATCAATCAATATTCTTCTAATACAATGGATCATAATTCAGTATTATCCAAACAAAATAATTATATAAAACCATCATTCAATGAAATGGAATATTTCACCAAATTATTACATACTACTAATAATAATAATAACAGTAATAATAAACATGAAATTGGTAAATTAACTGATATAGATAAACAACGTATTATTGCAATGGATTGGTTATTTTATAATCCAGATCAACGTGGTGAAGCTTTATGCTTAGCTAATAGTTTATTAAGAGTTTTTATTGCAATGCATTCATTTAAAGCAGCGCAACAGGTATGTGGTTATAATTTTTGTTTAAATAAAAGGATAATTGAATAGTTTGTTTAAAAGAATGTTATCAAAAGGGGCTTTGTGCAGATTTTAGTAATTTTATAGTTGAGATCATGAGTCAATTGAGGATAGACTATTATGGAAAACCTTGGAAACACTGGACGGTCGTTTCATCCTATTGTGGAACTCCTCAGCAGTGCTCATCTACGATTCCACCCTGCGAGATTCGAATCCAGAACCTATTGGTCTCGCGCGCGAACGCTTAACCTCTAGACCAATGAACCGGTATCTAACGGTGTTAATGTCTAACTTTAACTAATTCACAAAATTGAGCCACCATCCACTGTTGTCTTCAGTGAGTTACTATCTCACAATAGACCCGGTTGAACTCGGGATGCGATTCTTCCCCTCGAAATGCAAAATGTTGCTTCAGGATTGGGTTGCATCGACACCCGAACTAATGATACGAAGTGAAGTAGCATTTGACTCGGTAGACCGCGAGATTCTGTGGCAGTGTCTGTCATTGAATGGCGTACCACAGAAGTACATAAACCTTGTGAAGGCTCTTTACTCGAACACTACCAGTCGAGTCAGAGCTTATGGCGAACTGTCATCTACTTTTGCAACCTCAAGTGGTGTCCGTCAAGGCTGTCCACTTTCCCCATTTTTGTTTAACTTCTTCATAGATCTACTGATGGAAATAACATTCTCGTCAACTGAATTCTCGGGTATTGATCTCCTTCCAGGAGGTCCACTTATCGACTTAGAATACGCAGATGAGATAGTCCTGTTTGGTGAAGACGCTGGTAAAATGCAGTCTTTTGGTAGCACTAAGCAACAATGCCAGAATGTTTGGAATGCGCTTCTCTCCTTCTAAATCCAAGTTGTTGCTTCAGGACTGGTCTGCGTCAATACCTGAACTAACGATAGGGAGTGAAGTAGTCGAATGCGTTGACAACTTCACTTATCTTGGAAGTCTGATCAGCCCTAATGTGTTGGTGTCTGACGAAATCTCAGCACGGATTCGAAAAGCTCGTTTGGCTTTTGCCAACTTACGTCACCTATGGCGAAGGCGAGATATCCGTCTATCAATAAAAGGACGAGTATACTGCTCGGCAGTCCGTTCTGTTCTACTTTACGGCAGCGAAACATGGCCATTAAGAGTAGAAGACACTCGTAAGCTACTAGTATTTGTCCACAGATGCCTCAGAAATATTGCTGGCGTCTGCTGGGATCACCGGGTAAGTAATAGTGAGGTTAGACGCAGAGTATTAGGGAATAATAGTAAATCAGTTGATGAGGTTGTGAATCTTCATCGACTGAGATGGTTGGGCCACATGTTACGTATGTCTGAACATCGATTACCACGACGTGCAATGCTAACCGGTGTTGGAGATGGTTGGAAGAAAGTTAGGGGCGGCCAAACCAAAACGTGACATCAGTGCTTGAAGACACTAACTTCTAGTCTGAGCCATGTTGGTAGATGCAGACTACTTGGTTGGGGTCCGCGTGACTTTCGTAACCAATGGTTGGAGAATCTGGGTGACATGGCTCAGAATCGATCACAATGGCGTCGGTGTATACACTCCCTGTCTTCCCTTAAACTAAGAGATTAAAATCGCTTCATATCTTTCTTTCTATGAACTAATTTTTTCTTCCCGTACTATATCCTTATTGCAATCTTTCTTTTATATATTACCACCTTTGAATTAACTACTTTTATGAATCCGGTGTCCATCTTGTTGCGTTAATGAGGTATGGCAACTTGGACTGATGCATATATGTGCCTGGTCCTACGTTGTAGCTGACTGACTGAAGTAGTTGAGCGTGTCGACCGCTTCACTTATCTTAGAAGTCTCATCAGCTCTTGTGGTCTAGTGTGTAACGAAATCTCAGCACGAATACAGAAGGCTCGACTAGCTTTTGCCAACTTGCGTCATTTATGGCGTGGGCTAGGTACATTACTTTTATGGATGGTGGCTAGCAGTGGAATATAGGACTCCCGTTTCGTCCTACCTGGCGCTCGTCAGCTTGATGTATCTGTATCCCAGAGTTGATATTCACTCCGAGTCTCGAACACCAAAGGAAAAATTCAAACAAACATTACAACAATCAAATGATACATTACTTTTGGAGTATATTATTGTAGTATTGGCTTTATTTATTTATATCCCATATATATCTCTTGAAAATCATTTACCATATTGTATCCATATAGAGAGTACATTTTTGTTGTTATCCAGAGTTAAAACAGAGAGGATATACTCATTTTGTTTTTTTTCTTTACTTATCTTAAGGTTCTATCAAAATTACCAGTTGGTACATTAGAACATGCTAAAATAATTTGTGAGAAATTGGGTTCACCTGATTGGCTTGTGAATACAATACGTGAACATGAATGTCTTACTTTATATTTAGAAAGCCGGGTTAGTTTTATGGAAATATTATTTACATTTTTACGCTCCACTTATCTTCTTTTAATCCATTTAATATACGTACATTTTAATAAATGTGACAAAGAGGGGGGGGGGTAAACAAAAGTAGTTGGATGTACAGGTCAAATAACAATACAACCGAGAGAGAACTCTTTAAGTTAAGAGAATTCCTTTCATTTCTGTAAAGAATTTTAAAGGAAACTAAATCAGAATCACTATTGGTTTTTATTCTGAGCCATGTCTGATATCGTCTCAAACCACTGAGTTTCACAATCTATAGGACTGTAATCAGATTAGTCATGAGTGACAGACAGATGACGGTCCTATATAGTTTTCTTCTATGGTGTCATGTCATAAACTGATAACCTTTCAGCATCCGGTAAATGCTGTTTTTTGGATTGAAATTTCTGTGATGATAATCCTAACACATATCCAGACCATCTAAGCTGAATGATCCACCTAACGAGGTGGAAGACCGCAAGGAACGTCAACTCTTGAAGCGCCATAAGTCACCAGGGCCAGGTGGTTTACTTTTGGCCTGTTTTTAAAGATGGTTGTGACCTCCTGGTTAAGGAACTGATCGAGTTGTCTACAAACGTCTGACAATCAGAGAGTGTACCAACATCATGAAATGAGTCGATAGTTGTCTATATCTTTAAAACGATTCACATCACCTGTGGAATAACTATCTGCTACCAATTTCATCCGAATTATTGGCTTCCGTCTTACTCTGCAAATTGTTCAATACCCGCGAAAGATTGAGTCTCGAGGGACAGGTTGGATTTCGTTCTGGTCAAGGATGTGTTGATCATATCTCCGCCCCCCGCCAATTGTTAGAACATTGTCATACTTATTTTAGGCCGATAGTCGTAGTGTTTCTTGACATCAGAACGCCTTCGATTTGTTCAACTAGAATGTTCCTTGGGATTGTCTGTTGAAGAAGGGTGTACTTGAGAAGTTTGTCAATATCTTAAAAGTCCTACATATAGACACCTCCGACGAAGTGAGGGAATACTACCACCTCTCTCAATCGTTCCATTCAGACAGTGAGATTAGTCGGCGTTTTCTAATCTTGTCATACCTCCCCAACTTTACTATCGATGGCGTTCTGGAAACAGCTCCGACGGATGTAGGTAATGGTGGTGTGGATCTGTTGTTTGGAGAAAGATTTTTCAACGTTGAGTATGCGGAAGATATTGTCATACTGTGCGATAATATCCAAGTCATGTAATCTGCACTTGGTCAGTTGGCAATTAGCGTCCGGGCCGTCTTTGGCACTTTCGTGATATTAGTCTGGATGTAGATGGTCAGATCTGTAATACGTAGATGAAAACAGTTTTGCTCTACACTTGTGAGACCTGGCCCCTCCGAGTTAAGAATGTTGGACGACTCACTGTGTTTGATTATCGTTGTTTCCGGTTGGTCGCTGGCGTCCAGTGGCAACATCCTGTTAGTAATGCAGAGGTTCGGCATCATGTATTCGGGCAGAACGACAATAATCCAATTAGTGTCACTATATTGAGACATCGACTTCGGTGGCGTGTACATGTCCAATGTGGCCCATATACATTTAAGGTATCTCCTTGTATCAATGTTTATGTATTCAGATAATAAATAATAACTACATGATTTCCGAATACAGTTTATTTGTTCATTTGTTATTCACCTTTTTACTACTTTGTTTACTAATTAAGGATGCATTTGCTGACTGGTATCAACAAGTACATACTAATCGACCTGTACAACCGTCTTCGTTAACAAATAATAATAATTTTATGCATACAACATATGGTCCTCGTGGCTTAGCACAACGTCTTGCCATTGAAGAATCAAAAAAAGAGTATTTAGCTCGTCTTGAACGTTGGCGACATGATACACGATTAGATACAGAGGTTGGTTGTGAATTGATTGTCTGTTTTTATTTGTATTTATGTTTGTAAAGTATCGTTATGATTTTGTCTGTCCACGGGTAGTTGGGTAGTTGGGTAGATTCATCTGAAGTATGATTAAGTTACCTATAAAAAATGTTTATTTCTTCACATTTCTATATTATTTATGGTATGAAACATGAATATAAATGAATGAGTGAAAATCAAGCTGAAATAGTGTAGGGGGCTGGTTATTCTAACCTTTGGACAAACCAATCTATCTATTCTTCTCAAGCCATATTTTTACTGTGTCACTTATTCTTTTATTAACCCTGATTGTTTTTTATATGATCGTATGTGTGCTAATTATGTTTACCCTATCCATCGATTGTCTGTAACTTGTTTTTGTTGGCTCACTCGCCTTCTCCATTGCATATCATTATGTTTTGCTTCGCTTTCCGATCAACAATTGTACGGGATATATGTATTCAAAAATTCATTCTCCTATCTGAATTATTCCGTGATTCAATAACGCAAGTTAAGTCGATGATTATATAATACAAGGATTGGCGACATGTATATTTCGATAACAAGCAGTAAACGATCTACATGGAGTCAGATCTCGTGCCACTAAAATAGTGTATTGAATGTAGTCATCAGTTGATTGTAATATTGCTTTGGTTAATAATAACAGTTATTACATTCAATAATTTCCTTCTCAATAATGAAATAAGTTTAGATAAAGATAAGATTTGAAATCGTCCCGTTATGTAAGCATGGACTCTAACAGAAACTTATACAGTTAAATAAGTAAACATGAGTTAGTAGTGGATATCATAGTAATTTCAATGGTTGAGATCATGAGTCATTTGAAGCCAGATCACCATGGAAAACCTGCGCACTGCTGAGGAGTCCCACAATAGGACGAAACGGCTGTTCAGTGCTTCCAAGTTTTCCATGATGGTCTAGCTTCAAGTGACTCATGATCTTAACCATTGAATTTGATAATTATTAGTTGTGAATTTTCGGTTATCCGTCTTTGCGACTGTGAGGCATTACCTATTATTAGTTGAGGAAAGTGTTTCAAAAAATCTTATATCACATAGGCTGGTTGAAGAGTAGTAATATAGTGAAAAATGTTCTAGGGAAAAATTATACTTTTAGATTCACTCTAATGTAAAACGGTATTAAGCTGTTTTCATCCCTGGGAGATGCTGCTTAAAAAGTAGCCTTTTTTCGCCAACTTCCGATATTAACGATAAGCTTCAAAATATTAACCGTCTAGTAGATTAGATTTTTCAGTAAGGAATATTCTTTTATGAATAAATGTAATCCAAGGAACTGTTAATCACCCACACACCTACAATCCTCCAACTTAATCTTAAGCATTATTTTAGTTTAGTTCGCAACTCATTTGGTTACATTTTATTATCTAACCAGTCTGCCCTCACCCCGGTCAATACAGAGGAGAATCTTCTTTTGACGACGGAAAAGCAATATACCCGAGGGGCATGAACATGACGTATGTATTATTTACTACAAGTCTAGACACATCACATACTGTTGCATGATAACACAATCAGTGAGGAATGAAAATATTGACAAGCCTATTATGAGTGGGTAACTTAATAATCAACACAGGATTACGGACTACATCTCCCCATCTAGGTAACTACAAACATACTGCACACATTTATTAGATTATTTCAACGGAGCTTTCTGAACACTTAGTATTCCCTTCTGCATGAGCTCATATTAATTACTTGAATCGGATTACAGTTTTAGACTAGTGACATCAAATATTTAATTCTTTGTTTATTAGTTTGAACTGTGAAATTTTAGGTGCATATTCGTATGGCTCGTACGGCAGTCAAAATCAGTGATGTTATTTAAGATTCACTGAATTTTCTTATTTCTTGTAAGTTTTATTCTTCATGGATTAATCTTGTGGTGTATGCTACTTATATTGACAGATATAAGTAGTAGATAGCACCAATCGGAAGTAGAAGGCTTTGCAACAAATTAGAATGAATTGAACAGGAATGAATTCGGAGAGCAATCAAAATAACATCAGAATTAGAGTAATAATGAATTGTGTAAAGGACAATGCAATGGAGATATCCGAATGGTGTATTTAATGTATGACCAAGCCAAACCAATGTATTACCAAGCCACTGTAATTATGCATTAAGTAATAAATTGGTTTTCGCTACTCATGTTTCCATTCACTACAGGCTCAGTTAGAGCACCATTTAAATTGTGCGATTGAATGCGAACCGAATGGTTCCAATTAATTGTTAAGCGTTGGTGCAGAAAACCTGGAGCGGATACTTATCTCTAAGGAGTTCCGTAATGAAACGAAATAGCTATCCGGTTCTTCCTAGTTTTTAATAGTACCTCAGCTTTGATCAGTCTATGGTGAATATATATGACCTACACATCAAACTGATCTTTACAGAACCCCTTCAACTAAATGATTTCTATATTCTTTTTAGTTTTAAATAAAATTTTATTGATTTGTTTCATATTTTAAAACACTAAACACAAATGATATAGGCAGCAGCTGAAAAACTTTTGGCCTTATTAACATATCCTCATCCCGGTTGGTTAGTTGATATAGAACAGCGACAACAACAACAACAACAGCAATTGAATATGGATCCAAATGATCGATTAACATTGACAACAGAAATTCATCATGATAAATTAATTGATCGTAAATTCGAAGATAATAAAGGAGGAGAAATACATGAAAACAATTGTGAAACATTAACTATGAATAAAAATGATTTATTTGATGAACTTGATGAAAATCCTACTTCACGTCAATTACAAATGAATGTACTACGAGAGACATGTATTACAGAGACAGTGTTTCTTATTGTTCGTTTATATCAAACTGCTGGATTACATCAAAAATGTATTGAATTATCTAATTTAATTGTAGATAATGAATATGGTTTATTCAAGGTAGGTAGGATTTCTTTTGAAGTGAAGTAAAATATTCAAGCGTTTTTTTGTTCCTTTTTTAAGGTTGTGATTAGTTATAAATGATGAACGGCAAACTAGAATTTCAATTGTCTTCTTTAATTACTTACGATTGTTACGTCTTGTGGAGGAGCATAAGTCGTTCACCAGGATTATCCATCGAACTCTATCCTGGACAATCCTTTCCAGTTTTTTCCAGTCTCTGTTCATTGATTGATAACTGTTTCCAATTCCCGACGTAATATGTTCCTTGATCTTCCTCTTCTCCTTTTACGTCCAAGATTCCAAGTTAGAGTTTACCTCTGCTGTAAGTTATAGGGTTACTGCCTTTCTGTAAAAACACTAACAAATAATCTTCCTGCTGCTATGAATTCGTGATGCGAACTAATTCTTTTTTAAAAAAAAGAATCAATTTACTGGACATCAATATCTGTTTGTTTGAAACTACTTTCATTTTTATTAAACGTCGGTGAAATAACTGAGGGGAAGTGGTCTAATTGATAATGCTACTCACTGGATGGATTCATTTATTTGAGCTTCATAGATTTTTGAACATTTTTTCTTCTTCAACAACTAGTGGAGTATATAAATCTGTCTATCATTTGTTAACAATAAACTACATGATACAAATCCTTTTTAGTCGAAGTTACCACATCATCATATCAGTAAAACTATAGAAAATTAATAAGGTAATTGTTTTGTCGGGTCGTGTCCGAAATCTAATACTGATACATGATATGCTACGCGCCAGTCCCTACCTCCAACTGACTACTTGGGCGAGAACACAAGAGTAGGCGAGTAAGTAAATCTGGCTTAAGAAATAAGTTCATTTCTTAGCCAATGTAATACACTTGTCCTTCAGGTTATTTCAGATGGTCATCAAGTGACCCTCTTATTTGATTTCTTTTTATTAACTTACCATATCAGTGATATAAATTACAGTGTGGTACTCTAAATTTCGAAGGTGCAGTACAAAATCAAATGAATGAGTTTCATGCATGAATAGTTAAAAAAATGTTACTTAATTCAGCCCCCCAAATGCCCTGGTATGGCCGAGAGTGGGGTGGGCCCGCCCTCATTCTCGAAATGCCCTCACATGGCCACGCGTACACAACCTCTGCCAGGGAAGTCCTACTCACTGCCTTCTCGTGGCAGGGGTGTCGTTGACGAAAATGAGAGGACGAAAAGCGAATGTCCGGCGCTTTAACCGGATCCCAAACCAATGGTGCACATGGGCTCCAGTATCCTGAAGGAACAAATGGCGTATGAACCAGTTTTTGGCCACAGGCTACCATGGGACTGCATCTCCTCATGATGCTCCACTGCCTTGTGGGTTAGACCTTTAGGTCAAAGGCTCGGGGTGTGGCTCCCTAAGTAAACCATCTGCTTCGGTTTGGGCATCCGGGAAGTATCACAGCCCTCACATATATCAAATGAGATTTGTGTGGCGCATATATATTTGGTCCCTTTTTGTACCAATATTTATGTGTTCAAATAAATAAATAAATACTTTATTCAAGATCTTTCACGAAGACAGGAATATAGGCTTATAAAAAAAACTCAGACAAAATACTTACTTCTACTCATTGTGTAATAGGATATGTTTTTTTGTATTAGGGCATATTATTTCAGTTATGATACTTTTATTCTATTATGTTTTATTCTTTCTCTCTGTCTTTCTTTATATATCTAGTTGTTCTCTGGACCTCAGCTTCAAAATCTTCTTCATCATATTTCTGAATCAATTCAATATTTAATTGACAATGAACAAGATCCATTGGGTTATATTATACATTAGTCATATGTATATGACATATATGCTGTATATGCCTCTCTGTCTAATGTCTAATCTATCCATGAAACAAAGTCTGCTGAACAAAAATTGTTTCTTTCTTGTCTATACAAATTGATAGAAATGTTTTTGTATCCCTATTTTGTGTTTTTCTATGTATAAAAGTCGTATAGAGATTTTTCTTTGTATGTGTAAATTGTTAATTCTTATTGAAGAAATAAATAATTTGTTTACTATATGGATTTACTCTTTTCACTTTCATCCTCCCTCCCCCTCACTTATCATACTGAAATATTTTCCATTATGTTTTCTATGTTTGTTTCAGTGTAGTTTAACCGAGGTAACCAATGCTGGTTGGTAAGTTCTTTTCATAACTATTAGGTTATGAAATTATTCTGATATTTTTTATATAACAATTTGTTGGTGAATACTAAATATCACAGATTGAATTCATGAGTCAATTGAAGCTAAGCCACTATGGAAAACCTTGAAGCACTGGACGATCGTTTCGTCCTAGTATGGGACTCTTCAGCAGTGCGCAAACCGTGAGATTCGAACCCAGAACCTATCAGTCTCGCGCCAGGAGCTTCTGATAATAATCATCTGCTCACTAGTGACTGACTTCAAGAGATACTCCTGGAGTTCTAGTGAGAAGCCGTTACCAGTGGAGTTTAACCATGTCTGTTATGAGATATCAACTCACTGAAGACAATGGTGTACGGCGGAGCAACTTCGTGGATTGGCTGAAGTTAGACTTTAACACCATTGGATGCCGGCTCAGTGGTCTAGTTGGTTAAGCGCCATACTAAGACGAAACGGCCGTCCAGTGATTTTTACTGGTGTACATTGTTCTTTATTATTGGGTCAAGAATTCTAATATAATCCTTAATTTTAAGGTAGACCACCTTATGAGAAAATTGTAAGATATTGCACAGTGAAATCCTTCATATATTCATACCCGTGACATACTGTTATTGAGCATTTGTGAAGAATATGGTGATGGGATACTGGCGTGTTTTCAATCTGTTTCACGTGTGAAATAAAGTATACAACATATGCACAATGTTTTCTGGGTTTTATTTGTTGGTAGACATTTTAAAGTCATTTATTTAACCCGTATACTACCTTCGAACTCACGTAAAACGATTTTAAAGAAAAAATAATATTCATTAAAAAGAGTTAGTTTACTCATAATTTTGAATCAGTACTTAGTCCTGAAGCAGTTGTAGATTTGATGAAGTCAAATAATGCACCAGTTCAATAAATTGAAATTGCAAATATGAATTATATTGAAGAGCAACTCATTGGTTTACACTTGCTACGTTCAAAAGCGCTAAGACTAATCTTTATCACAGGATCGTGGACTCACACTCCAAACGAGTTCCAACTGGGAACGGGATACAGATCCAATATTCTGTGGTTTACAACAACTGTTCAATTAAAATCAGTCTTTAATGAGATCGAACAATGTCGGAATATCAGTATTACTTGTGAATGTGTAGCAACGAGCAGTCAAATGAAGATCTGACATCAGTTGATGAAGACATTAACTGTTAGCTTACGCCGTATTGGTAGATAATACGGACTGCCCGCTTGATGTTTGCACGATCGTTCTAACCAGTGATTGAAGATGCCAGGTGACATAGCTCAGAATCGATCATAATCGTCCTAATGTATTAATTCTGTAATGTTAATGTCTAACTTCAATCTATGATCTTGCGCAACCCTTCATATGGTACTTGAAGATAAAATAAAAATGTATACATGAAGGATTACTTGATCTAAAATCTTGAGGGTAGATAAAGAATTAAAGGTTCTAAGCAATTATGAACAAGTACTAAGCCTTATTACCCAATGTCTCCGGTAATTGGTTAAATTTATCTCCCAGATCTCAGTTAATTAATCTTTAATTGCAAGTACGTTTCAGACAAACAGTTGATTAATTTAGTTCCTGCGTAATCCTCACATTAACATCAATCCTTTGTCAAATGCCATAGATCCAATTCAAAGCTTTACCAATGAGACTATGTTCAATTAGATTGTTACAATAAGACGACCACGTTTTATTATCGTAACGCAATGATTATTATCATACTATATTATAACATTGGTCAAACTGATCCAGTCACTGATTAGTATATGTTCATCTACAATCTATGTGTCAAGTCATCTAGATTGATGGTCACATTGCAACATGGTCGATAGCAATCGATCTGCACTAAATAAGGACTTGACACGCATGACATTGATCACCACCCAGTGATCAATCAATTGTGATTTCAATCTATCATGAATAATATATATGTTTTTATTGTTTTATTCCTTGTCTACAGGAGTTTGTCACAAAAGACGTTGACAGAATATTTAAAGAAAACAGAACATGAAACTTATGATGAGTTGATTACTCTGTTGTTGAATGTAAGTTTTAAAAACAACATTATTTAACAGAAAATACATTTTAATCAATACTTCACCAATATATACTTAATTATGCTTGTTACCCCCCCCCAGCCGGCATGGAGTATAGGTCACCGACCAAGCAAATGCAAACGTAGTGATATTTAGTACTTACCTTAGTCATATTCCATTCCCGTATTAAATTGTTAACAATTCCACCGAGTACCACAATATGCTTTTTAGATAATAATAAAAACCCCATCACTAATGGAATTGAACCAATTAGACGAAATTTTGTTCCAGGTGGAATATCCATACTAAAATTGAAACATTAATTAATGAATAATAAAATTTTTATAAAAAACCATAAGATGTTATTAAATGCAACTAAGATCTACTACTCACAAATACTTAAAGCAGTAGTAATAGTAGTAGAAACTAAAATTTGTTTGAATAATAATATTACTACTAAATGGTGTACCAAGAGTTCAACAGTGTGATAACAACAAAAGTAAACCAACAACATTAGGGTACTTCCTTTCTACAACAAAAAACGACTTAAAATAGACCAATCAATCAACCAACCAACTGATCAAGACGAATTCAAGCGATCTCCATCGAATGCTTTCTACAATCAACTAACCAAGAACATATTTGAAAGATTTACCATGAAAGAAATTAGACTCAGAATACACACATATATCATATCACAAATCATCATGATATTTGTCTGTATATTTAAATCAATAACCATGGGATAGTGATACGTAATTAGTATAAAGCTACGATTTTCGGTAGGTAAATACTATAATAATATTATAACAGTAAGACACAATTCTAACCTGTAACCTTTGATCTGACAACGTAGAATAATAGATAACAACAACATTGGACATTTTACTGAAAATATGTCATTAAAACTCATGTTATGGTAGTTTATAAATAACAAGTTGACTTGAATATCAAAAGACCGAGTTAACCAACAGCTTAGCAAAAACTTGTTATGAATCGTTTGATAAACAAGAATACGTTTTACACAGACACACACACACTATGCATCCAGTTCTTATCATTTCCAACCATGTTTTCCTGTCAAAACAACTAAACACCCGACACTACATTCATTTAGAATGCTGTAGAAGATGCATTTTTAAAAATTTGTTTCCACACTTTTAATAAGCTATTTATTTGATGACAACTCAGACGACACGCTGAATATAACTTTGCGTAGTAGATGGATGTTAGTCTGGGGAGTATTAATTTCCACAAGATTAAATGTACGCCTCCGATCTGGTGAGCTTCTGACATACTTGTTTGTTTTTGGGTCGTCCTTTTGTTTGTTAATGATTGTGTGTAAAAATGCAAGTGGTTTTTTTATCGATGCATACTACTCACTGTTTCCTTATTTTTTATTGCTTTTTGTTCCTTTCTTGTTTATGTAATGATGCTTTAAATTCTTGGTCAAACCTAAAGTCGGATATTCGTGAATACGGTTCACCATGGCTAGGAGATTTGAAAAAGGCTAGTCATGTAAGAGAAGTTGTGGTTGTTTATGATCGTTGTTATTTCGTAGTCGAATTTTCTTAAAAAATGATTGTTTCTCTCTATAATTTCTGTTTAATAACAATGAAGTATTTTCAGGACCAAATGTAGAGGTAAGTTTTTTTTAAAGATAGACTTAATGGAATATGGCTAACTGTGGAATCCAGGACGTACGTTTCGTCCTATTTTTCACTCGTCAGCTTGATGTACCTGGATGTTCACTCCGGGTCTCGGGCAGAGTACCGTTTTCTTCAGACGCCATCATGTTATTCACTTAGTTGCTGTGTCCAGATGTCCACTCACTTGTGCAATGTGAAATGGCGTATATTTTCCCGTTCATATTTTTGACCAATATTCGATCAGTCTTGGTTAGTATATGGGCGTCCTGTGCGAATCGCGTCGATGCAGTCATTAAGACGCAAGTTGACAATATATGTCTTGATGTGGGTTCGAAATACATAGAAAGCATCAGTTCTTTAAAAATTTAAAATACGCCTTGCTAGCGTGTGACAACTGGCACGAAACCGGGCTCTAGTATCTCTGGCCGCTTACCTCTAATTACGTAACACTAAGGCATAACGCTCATGATGTTCCACCATTTAGACTAAGGTATAGAAAAATCACCACATTTATTTATTCGTTTACTTTTCTTTTGTTTTAAATGTACGGAGTATTCTATTGTATGAAAATTAATACTTATTTGACACATTTGTGTTTATGTACGCTTATGTTTGAACTACTCCTCAGAGGTGATGGCTAGTTATTATTACATAGTTGCCCGAATCTAATTACCTGCAGCAAAGTTTGAATGTACCATTTATTAATTGATAGTGAACTATATTAACAATGATATAATGAGATGAATAGTGTTGAAGTTGAACTTTTAAGACTATCATACGAAGGATTATTGTTTATATTTTTACTGTATTATTAGTAGACGTTTGTATCGTTGTCTTATATATTCTATTTCTAAGCTTTCGTTTGATTCATAAATCGTTGTCATACTGTAGTGAATGAGAACACAAGTGGGAACAATCGAATGTATTTGAACACAAATATTATGGAACATCTGAGTACCATACAGTAAATACTTCATTTACAAAATGTCAATCAATTGTTTCAAACTTGACTGTTCTTTTTGCAAATATCAGTCAATCGTCTCGGACTTCATTGTTCCTTCATTTCTACAGCAATTATTCACTGTTGTCGTTCTCTTTTCTTAACATTCTACTACTAGGTATTTCACTTTCGATTGATGATCTTTCCGCTTACTGTTTATACGGGATTTGAATCGAC